AGAACCCTTCTAGGCAGAGCCTAGGTAGGGAAAAAGGAACCGCCCTCCATCCGTGAAGCTCTTGCAACTATTCAAACAAGTGTATGCAGCGCTGAGAAGAGAGACACATGTTGAAAACAACCCGCCCTCAATCCGTGAAGCTCTTACAATTTTGAAAACGAACGTGCGCGGCGCTGAAGAGAGAACCACATTTTGAAAACGATCCGCCCTCAATCTGTGAAGCTCTTGCACATGCTAAAAAAAGGGAATGTACGCGGCGCCAGGGCGAGAGCCACATTTTGAAAGCGTTCCGCCCTCCATCTGTGAAACTGCTACCACTTGTGAAACTTCATAATCATAAGCGGTAAGAAAAAGAAACGCCCGGCCCGCCATGAAAACTGGCCTCGGGGTGCGACAGGGAAGATTTATCTCTATAAGGAGAAGGGGGAGGAGGCGGAGGCGGAGGAGGAGGAGGCAGAGGCGGAAGAGGATGATGATGATGAGGAGGAGGAGGAGGAGGAGGAGGGGGCCGAGGCGGCGGCGGAATCAGGGACGATAGGGGTGCGGGCGGGAGAGGGGAGGCGGGGAGGGGGAGAGGGACAGAGGGATGACAGAGGAGTACACATAGAAGAAAAGCGAGCGCCATGAGCATAAACTTTTGCGCTCCGCACGGGTTTCCTGGAGCTGCGCTGGACCCCCACCATGGCGCGCGGAGCGGGCCAGGGGCGGCGCTGGAGGCGCCGCCGGGGGGGCCCAGCGCAAATCCAAGAAATCCGCGCGGAGGGCCGAAAGTTTATGTTCATGGCGTTTTTTCTTCTTCGAGTAAAGGGAAGGGACAAGAAGGGGGACAGTGGGGGAGGTGGCAGAATGACGGGCCGTCTCCCTCACCTCGTCCCCGCTCCTGCCCCTCGTGCCGCGCAACCGTGGCGACCCGGCGAGAACAGAGGGGCGCGCCGGGCTTTCAAGGTCCAACGGCAGGGGGGGGGATGGATGCCTGCAGCCCAGGGGTGGGTACCAGTAGTCGGGGGGGTAGTAGTCACACCTATTGTAAGGTTGGACATGTCCCCCTACAGGCGGATTTAGGACGATTTTTTAAATATGCAGAACATACCACAAGTACGCAAAAAAAAGATAAAACGATCGCCCCCAGACGATTTCTTGACTATTTTTTCCCCAATGGGAGCTTGCCTCTGTAAGGGTCCTCGCGGATTCATATGGTTAGGTGAGGTGTGTCACCGATTTCCGCGGCCCGCCTGGGTGCCCGGGTGCCTCATAGCCCTAAAGCCCCATAGCCCTATTGCCACCCAATAGCACCACAGCCCTGTAGCCTTATAGCCCCATAGCCCTGTAGCCCCACAGCCCTATAACCAAAGAGCCCTATAGTCCGATAGCTCTGTAGCACTGTAGCCCTATAGCCATTCTAGTCCTATAGCCCTATAGCCCTACCGTCCTATAGCCCTATAACCCTATAGCCATACAGCCTATAGCCCTATAGCCTATGGCCCTATAGCCCTAGAGCCCCTATAGCCCTATAGACCTGTAGCCCCATAGCCCTGTGGCCCTAAAAAAACTTGGATTGGGGCCTTTCTCTGGTATCATAGAATCACACCTATTGTAAGGTCACACCTATTGTAAGATTGGGCATGTCCCCCTAGAGGTGGATTCTTAACGAAAGTTCAAAAATTATGTAAGACCATAATACAAATGTTCAAAAGTAGTATAAACAAGTCGTCCCCATTCGATTCCTGGACTGTTTTTGAATCTTCCTCCTGTAGAGGGACACGCCCGACTCAAGCCTAGTGGTAGCAGGCCGCCCTGACTCTGGAGTGGGGCTGGATAGGGAGAGAGCCCCGAGACGCGCCGGGCACCGGAAGCCGCCAAGGCGAGGAAAAAAAAGAGAAGAGCAGCACAGGAGGGGGCCCTGGGACACACAAATAAATACGTACACAAATCCCAGGGCTCCCCCTATTTTTTGGGTATGTTTTGGATGTTCGTCTTCCCCCCCCTCTCCAATATTGTCCCAGATTTCCCTGGGAGTCGACGATTGATTGTGTCTGTGTGTTTCTCTCCCTCCCGAACACAGGAGGGGGCCGTATGCCCTCGCTTGGAAAACTGCCTCGGGGGGCTAGCAGTAGTCCAAGGGTGGGTACCTACAGGGCAGTTTTTCATACATTGGATGTTTAAATATATTATTTTCGATAATGGTTAAGTTATGAATGAATGTATGCATGAACTCATCGTTTTGATACTAAATCGTTGCATGTTTAATGCATGATCCGCACGCGGAGCATGTATTAAAAACGGCACTGTACGCAGACCACCTTGAATAATGAAAAAAATAATGACGGGAGATTTTTCGCTATTTTCTGCCTCTTGGGGCCCTTACCGGGCTTCGGGAACGTCAAAAAACGACTCATGATGACAAACCGGTCTTCGGGAAGGAGTCCAGACTTCTGGGGGTCGACGTCATGAAAAAATCATGACGTCGGGGGTCCGGGTTTGCAGAAGGCAAGAAAATCCACCCCCATAACCACCCCGATAAGCGAGGCCGTTGAATAAGCGCACCCAAATGAATCGACCATTGCAGGGCTGTTTAGTAAACGCCCGGGGCCGTTTAGTAAACGCCAACTATCGGATCCAGGTGGTTGTTCCTCCCTTGACTATAGCCCGGTACGTACATGTAGCCCAGGGGCCCAGAATGACGGAAGGGCATCGAGTACACCCCTTGGAAGAGGAGTGCAACTCATCAGTATCCGCCTCCTGCTCGTCATCCTCTGCACATCTCGCGGCCAGACTTCGTCAGGCCCACCCTGGGGGCAAGACCGATGTACACGACCCTTGGGCCACGCAGGAGGGCGCAGACACCACGACGTCCAACAAAGAAGCGATGTATCATGCAACCGCAGAAGCCAAGACCTGCACCACTGCCGTGCGCAGCCCCTCTGCGCACCCGGGCAAGCAAAGCGCCCACGGCACATGACATGGCAGCCCCGTGGTCGGCCGAGCCTGACGGCCGAAGACCGGCCACACTGCGCTGGCTGCCCTTCTCCTCCGGGCTGCCCCTCCCGCCCCTCATCGGATGCCTCTCAATCTCTGGCGGCTTCTGCAAACCATGTGCCCAACCACGTGAGGGGGCCGCATGCGAGCCCTACCCCCTACCCCCCACGTTTTCTGAGGGGAAGGGTGGAGGGGTCGCTCCGCTCGGGAGCTCCCCGAGCGAAAGGAGCCCCACCCTCCCCCCAGAAATCGTGTGGGGGGGGGTAGGGGGTAGGGCTCGCCTGCGGCCCCCTCACATGGCTGCCGTCTCTTTGGGGGCTCGCCCGCTGCCTCCGCCGCCGCTCTGCCTCCGCTGTGCCTCCGCCGCCCTCCTGCCGGGACAGAGGGGCGCCCCCCCGCTCGCGATGCCTCGATGGGGGCGAGAGGCCCGTCCTGGAGCGCCCCTTTCCCGCGCCCGGCACCTCGTGCTGGCGCCGCCCCTTTCTCGGCCGCGAGCCAGAAGACTGCTGGGCCCCCCTGCCCGCAGAGCGGGAGTCGCTCGCGAGCCCACGGAGAAGGCATGTGGCGTCGAAGCCTCGGACCTCGAGACAGACCCCAGGCCAAGCGAGCAGTGTTTGGCCAAGCCAGATGAAGGGCTCCAAGCCACGTGCACCACAGTTCCGAAACGCCGCCTGCAAAAATGGCACCTGCAATCATGTGTTGTGTTAGGTCGGGCATGTCCTCCTACAGGCGGATTCTTATTTGGGACGAAAAAGAGAAGTAGGTAAAACAGACACCAAATTACACAAAATATAATCCCACTAGCCCTCTGGGCGTCGGTGGTTTAGGGCGTTTCCTCTTCCACTCCTCCCTCTTCCCCTTCGGGGAGGGGTTTACCCCTCCCCCTACCCCCTCCCCTGGACCTGGACGGGGGGGGGGCCGCGGGTAGTTAGAGCGTCCAAGATGGCTCCATGAGGGCCTCAGAGCAGCCCAAGATAGCGTCGAAGATGGCTCAAGATAGCGCGAGATGCCTCGATATAGCTCCTAAGATGCTCCAAGACGCTCCAAGACCGCTCCAAGACGGGTCTAAGTGGCCAGAAGAGCTCCGCAATGACGCCCCGACCAGGCCAACATGCTTCAAACCATAGGGAAAATCAATGTGTTTGGCGGTATCGCTTTTGCGCTTCCGATGCCCATCCGAGGCCTCAACATCGCTCCAAGATGACCCAACAAGGGTCCAATCAGGGACCAAGAGAGCCCCAAGACGGTCCCAAGAGCGCTCCAAGAACGCTCCAAGATGGGTCCAGGATGGGGTGTCTTTATCCTCTCGCTTGGGCGGTTCAGCATGCAAAAAAAAGTTAGGGCGTGTGTTTCATCTACATTATGATTTCTTTATTGTGGTTTTGGACAGAAGGTGAAGGAAACTAATATATGTTAGGTTCGCTGGGGGGGGGGACGATGAGAAGCGAGCGGAAATTGAGAAGGGAGGAGGAGGACGGAGGGGGGAGGTGGAGGATATTGGTTGCACCCAGCGGCTAAGTTCACGTGACCCCGAGGGCTCTGGTCGTGAACGCGCACCGAAAACAAAAGCCCTCGGCACCGAACAGTATGGATTTCGAAGCCTCGGGGCCCTAACTTTGACGTCGAACAGCCTTGTGATTTTCTTGCGAACGCTCCAAATCGGCCCTCTCGGCACGTGTCGGGCTGGAGGGCGGTGCATTTGGTTGCACCACCCCGCGGCAATGCACTCGTGCATTGCCTCGCTCAAGTCGAGGGCGCACCAAGGCCTACAACCCACATGCCTGGTGCCCGAGTGCCCTGGACGAGCGAAAGATACATTCTTAAAGAGAACCAATCAACGAAACAAAATGCCAAAACGAAGTGATGGTATACAGTGCGCTCTGTGCGCTGGCGATTGCTATGACGAAACTTCACATCGTTGAGCTATTCCTGCGTCTGGATTCCCCCTATCCTCCTCCCACGTTCCCCTGTTCTCCTCTCTCTCATCCTTCTCCTTCCCCCCTCCCTCAAAGCAGCGTCAAAGCTCAAGACATGCCAAAAATCCGCGCCGACGCAGTCCTGCCCGAGACAACCTCGCCTGGGGAGTTGGCCTCCGTCCACTCGAAGGCTTTGCGACGAAGAGTCTCGCCTGCTTTGAGGGGGCGGTTGGATTTCAAGAAAGGCCTCTCGAAAGTGAAAACCTTGGCAGTCGAGTCGACCTCGACATCAAATTGCACGGTCTCGAATTCGACAGAGTGCGTGTGAGAAAGCTTCTTGCGATTGCCAGCCTTCTTCGGCTGTGGTTTTGCTGGGGGTGCTGCCTGCTGCGCCTGCTGCGCCTTGGCAGCGGAGGCGCCCTTGCGCTTCTTGCTGGGCGGCTGGGCACCGCTGCTGCTGCCAGCTGCGCATGCACCAGCCTCAGGGTTGGCCGCGCTGTCCACCAAGGGGGCAGCATCGGCGTTGGTCTCACCGTCCACGTCGTCCTTGATCATCGGGGGCATCCATGCGATGCATGCGTCTGAAACCAAAGGGTTGAGGAGCTTCGAGCCATCCAGGAACAAACTCAAACCATTGCTTGTCCCCAGTGGAAGCAGAGTGCCACGCGGAAGACTCCTCGCAGCGATCGCATCTACCACCCTGCCCCAACAAACGAACTCGGGAGCCTCCGTGGTCGTTGCGTCTGCCGCCAGACGAGCTGTCAAGGTCCCCGCGCTCTTCTTCCTGGAAAAGTCAATCAGCACGTCGCGGAGAAAGCGGCCTTGCAGTCCGTCAGCGGGTGGCATGAAATGGCCCTGCACAGAGGCGATCACCCGCGCCTTCGTCGCGCTGGTCATGGCAAGGTGGTCGGGCCCGTTGGACTTCAGCTCCTCTCGAATTTGGGAGGAAAGGCGGGGAGAAGAAGTGAGGGCGAGAAGGAAGCTGGCGTCATTAATATTGTATGTTAGTTTCGAGCGGTCCTCATCGGTGAGCATGCTGATCCACTGCGTGACCCCCAGGCTGGTCAGGTTGAAGTCGCCCTGGGGAATGCCCTTGCCGTCGTCGACGGCGATGGGGACTGGTTCCTTGGCAGTCTTGGTTGGAGTAGTCGTCTGCCCCGCAGTCGGTGCCACGACCGCCGCTGTTGCCGCCGCAGTTGTAGTGGTGGCGCTTGCCTTGGCCAGCTGGTCGCGCAGGATCGTCACCTTGTCGCCAACGTTGCCGACGAGGATCGTGGCTGCCAAGGTCGTGTCGGTGCACTTCTTTTTAACCGCAGTCATGACATCCTCTACCAGCGCAGCTTTCACAGACGAGAAGATTCCCATGGATGGCGGCACCTCGATACTCTGCAAGCCCTGCGACACGACGAACTCCTTCATCTGCGTATGAGTGAAGCCCTGCAGCTTCCCCCTCAGGCCCGCGACGAGCGTGTGATGCGCCTTCGCCTTGGTCGGGCAAACCTTGTTCACCGTCACCACCAGTTCAGCAAACGCCTCCAGATAATATGCCACATCTTCCACGTCAGCTGGCCTCCTCCTCAGGAGGGGGCTGGCTAACGTGGTTGTGGTGACATATATATGGCACTGGCAGCCTTGCTGAAACAGTCGCCGAAGACAGCCATGGACACGTCGCCGTCGATGGCCTTGGTGATGATCTTGATATCGATGGGCTCCTGCGCTCCGCACCGCTGGCTCTCGATGGACTCCGCGATCTTCTTGAAGACGTCCTGCACAGACAGCAAGCCAAACATGTATTTCGGAGTGCCGTTGAGGGGGACCTGCATCGTAGATAACGTGCTGCACACTGCGAAGAACGTGTTCAGCCTGACCATGTTCAGCTTCTTGCGGCCGGTGGCCCCGATCACGCCCATCTCTTCGCACGTCTTCCTCAGAAGCTCCGTGTCGGCATAGTCGCTCCTGGTTGAAACAGTTGTCAAAGCAAATTTGAATTCCGACAATTGTCCAAAGTTTATCACTATCTCGTCGAACGCCAACGGCATCTCATCCATGACGGCAGTGACCACGCGCTTCGTGGCCTCTTCGATCAGCTCACGTTGGCTATCTGGAGTTCCAGACTTGCCCTCTGCACCACCGCATGCTCCAATCATAGACGTGTAGACCTTGCTCGTAATCCCGCAGACTGCCATGTGCAACTGGATCGGCTTGTCGATCGGGTTCACCATCAGGTAGGACTTCATGCGGGCCGCCGAACCGTTGTCCTGCAAGGTCTTGAAGGTGTCCAAGAGCGTCTCGTCAGTCTTCTCCTCCAGAGGCGCCTTGCTGGGCGACTCTGCAAGCTGGCTGTCGTCCCCTGCGTCGGCGTAGTAGATCTCAAGGTCGCTGGGCTTCTTTGCCATGCCAGATGCTTTGAATGCAGCGTTGATGATGTGGCGCTTCATCGCGGTGTATCTGCTGATCGTCCTCGCTGGGGTGTTGCCATTCCCTGGAACTTGTATCTCTCCCTGCAGCTGGCAGAAGCACAGGATCGACGAGTATGCGTTCAGGTTGTCCTGGGGGACGTTCAGCTTGTGCTTGAGCATCGCGGTGAACTGGATCACGTCACTCAGGAAAGACACGTCGTTGTCCCCATCCGATGCGCACGCGCACCCCGCAGAGACCTTCGCCTTCATAGTCGCGCTGTCGGCCATGCTCGCCAGTAAGTTCCTCACCATGGCCTCTGACAGCTTTCGCAACTTGCCCTGCGGAATGCCATCTGGCAGCGCTGGGCACGCCCCGAGGGGTTCAGACTCGAGGTGCGGGATCACGAGGGCAACGACAGGAACGACGAAGTCGGGATAAGTAGAGCACAGCACCTTGCAAATGCAACTGATGTTCTGGATGACCGCGTTCGTGTCCTTCATGTACTCATGCATGTAGTCAGCCTTTGTCTCGAAATAAGATACCATCTGATCCCAAATTGAAATGCCTGCTGATGTCATCGTTGTCTGCAAAAGGTTGTAGGTGTTGATCGTCACGTCGAGCGCGTTCTGTGAGCGCCAGCGGCCAGAGAATACAGTGTTGGCATAGGCATGCCTGCGAGCGTAGAGCGTAAGCGCCCCGCCACAACCGTCACCAGTAGCAGTTACCTTTTCCTTCTGGATTGCCCATCCAGAAAGAATCGTCTCGGTAGACATGAACACCTGGAGCACCGTAACCACCAAAGTGCTGGCGTTGGTGGCGTTGCCTAGCTCGATGACGTAGTCTTTCACATCGTCTGGTAAGTTCGGGTCGAACTCCACAGCAGAGTCACAACCGGCCTCGAGAGCGATCCAAACCGTCCTGTTTTTCTTGTGGGGATCTTTCTCCATCGCCATCTTGGCACCTTCAAGCAAGCTCGCCCAGTGTAGAACAGTCCATTGATTCTCGCCCGCTGGAATTACCCATGGCCCCTTACGGACCTTGCATATGCCAATCGTCTCAACTGACTTGCACCTGTCCAAGACTGTCGCCATATTGTACCTATGTTTCTGTTTCTGAAGAAGAAAACGAACGCTTAAGGACGCAGTAATCATTAACCGTGTGCGTGTGTCCTTAAGCGTCCGTTTTCTTCGGGGCACCTCCTGTTGGCAGGGTCCCTGGTCATGGTGAACTTGCCCTCGTGCACGAGGGGCAGCCATCGGGGTTGACGCGCGTGCAGCCTGAACACTAGATTCTCGAGCTCGGGGCCCGCCACGTAGCCGACGAACCTGTCGTATATCGTCGGAAACCTCGCACGGTCGTTAAGGAACAACGTGGACGGGTCTGCAATCTTGGGCTCGGGCCCCTTGGGCACGAGCGCCATGTCGCCATGGGAGCTGGCAGCTGCCATCGCTGGGAGTAGCCTGGCGGAAGCAAGCGTTCGCAGGACAAAAGAAGGACTGGATATGAGAGAGAACGTGGGCGACGATGGCAGGGGAGGAGAGGAGGAGAAAGAAAAGGAGCAGAGGACTTGGCAAAGGCAGGGGAATGGAGGGGGGAGGGTGGGAGGATAGGATAAGCGGACAGGAAACGGCTGACAGGGAACGTCATGGGAAGGCCACCACAGGCCACTCATCTCAGGGGTTCCAGGGCCAGCGCTCGGAGGACGAGGGCCAAGGTCGAGCAGGGCCGCGAAACTGCCTCCAAGGGTCTCGCCACAAGGGGGGGGGTGAAAAAATAATGGCGCGGAGAGACGGGCAAACATTTGCACTGAGAGCTCACCCCCTGCCGCGAACCACCGGCCTTTGGCTGCCGGCCCCCTGGCCCCTACGGCCTCGGCACCGCGGAGGCCCCGAGAGGCGGTGCGGACGAGGGGGGTGGGGCGGGGCGGGGCGGGTGGAATTTTTCGGAGCGCTCCCCCCAATCCTCCTCCTCCCTCCTCCTCCCCCCCCTCCCCACCCCCCCACACCCCCTCCCCCCGCCCCCCTCCCCGCCCCCCCCCCCACCCCCCCGCCCGCCCCCCCCCCCGCCCCCCCTCCCGCCCCCCGCCCCCCCCCCCCTGGCGCTTCGAATTTTTTCGGCCCCCCCCCCCGCCCCCCCCCCCTGGCGCTTCGAATTTTTCGGCCCGCCCCCCTCCCCCCCCCCCCCCTCTGCCCCCCCCCCCCCCCCCCCCTCCCCCTCTGGGCCCCCCCTCCCTCCCCCACCCGTCCCCCGTTGTTCTGGCGCTCCGAATCCCCCTCCCCCCCCCCCCCCCCCAGGACCCCCGTCCCCCCAGGATCGCGAGGTCGTCGAACCCCTCCGAACGGCCGCCCCGCAGCTTTCAGGGAGGGGTCGGCAGCGCTGCGCGGCGCCGCAGGGGGTCGGTCTAGAGCGGACCCAAGACTCACGAGACCTAAAGCATCAAAGGTAGACATCAGAATAATCCAACGCGAATCGAAGCGGATATTAGAAAAATTCTGAGCGACCCGATGTGGAGTTTAGAAAAATTCTGAGGTCACTTGGCTGTAATAAGAAGCAATATATAAAGATCAAGTACCTTAGACAAATTCTAACATCCACCTCAAGTACCTTAGAAAAATTCCAACATCCACCTCAAGACGCTTAGAATTTTCCCAATATCCTCCTCTGTGAGCTTGGTATTTTCAAGGGTCAGACTGCCGTTGCCTTTCTGATCTTACAGCGTTTGGGAGGCCCCCGCGACATGGAATTCACTGTTCGGGATGCCGTGCGCTCCCTCCCTCACTCCCTTCCCCTCCATCCACCCCGACCTTCTCCTCCTCGACTCCTCCTCTCATATCCCTCAACGAGCACTCTTGGGCGCAGCGTTTCCTCGTTCCATCGGCATCTTTTCCTCCCCCCCCGCCTCCCCTGTCCTCCTCCCGTCCTCCTCCCACGCTCCTCCCTCTCAGTCGCCACGTCGAGGCTTTCTTACACCTGCGGCAGCACCAACATATCCCCTGCGGTGCGCACCAATGGTTCAACCCTGACCCCACAGGGCAATGCATTCACTCGTTCAGACAAATGGGGCAAACGAAAAGGCCCTCCTCTTCGAATGGGGACCCCATCCCAAAAGCACGTGCCACGTTCTCTGCGCACGCGCTGTGCCAGTACACAACGCACTCGGAACATATGTACGAATCAAAGTGCTCTACGGGCTGCGCACCACCGCCGCCGACGACCCTGACATCCATGCCCATGGTGTCTGCGCACGCACAAAAAACGCAGGGAGCGTCGCAACTGAAGAGACAGTCGCGAGCAATCGGACCAGAAAACAGTTCGGCCGCGAAGGCCTTCATAATTAGCAAGCACCAATCAGGCACACGCTCACGCAAGTCCTTGGGCCGCGTGATCCTGACAGGCACGTTCCCGATGATGATGTTGCAGTGGTCCCTGTCGCACTCCCTCTTGAGATGCTCAGTCGCAAACGGCACGTTATACTTGAACCACAGGTGCTCGAGGTCCACCCTTGCTATTTTTGCAGACCTGCCAACACCCTCCCAAGCAACAAAGACAACATCGCAATGAACTTGACCATCTTCTGCAACTGTTCGCAATTCAACCAACGATACCAAGCCCCGCTCTGGAGCATCTGACATGTCAGTCCTGAAGCCGTAGTCCTCAGCGAAGTACATCGCGTCCCGAGCAGATGTGCGGCTTGCCTCGCATGCGCCCCTCACGTTGCGGAGAAGCTCAGCTCGGTGGTCGCCAGAGATGGCGTCAAAGACGTCGCTTTTAGCAGGCCCTGCATGGTTATGTGGGTCAGGCTGTCGATCTCCAGCGTCGTCCTCAACGTCCGTATCCTTGCCGTCGCTGTCGAGGCCCTCGCTGGCGCCCTCGAGGTCCTCGCACTCCTCCTCCATGGCGTCCTGGGCAATCAATCGTTCAAGCTCCTCAGAGAAGCCGTCGTCGTCCTCAAGCATGTCAGGCAAACCGCCCTCGGCGTCGACTGTGTGTGTATTCTTTTTCTTGGGGCCATTGTAGGCCCGCTTGAACAGCGGCGTCACTTGGGCAGTGTCAGCGATCACCGAGGCGGCCTTCAACGACGTCCACGACAACATGTACTGGACCAGATGCAAGCGAGGACGCTGCTTCCGCCCAGCTGGAAGAGGGTGAAATGCATGTAGGGCCTCACCAACCAGAGCACACGCAGTACGTTTGACAATTGGAACGTGCAAGTGAAAATGGCATAGCTCGTCCACGTGGCCAGTTGCGCAATACATCGTCTTGTAGTGCGAAGTCCCCGCCAAGAATACGACGCTGCGATCTAAAGCAAGTGCGCGTGTATCAGGTGCGTCTGGGCCGACAATCACATACGCATACCTGGCTCCCAAGTCAGTCACATCAAATATGCTATAAGATATCGGAAGTGCTTCTCTGGCATTGTCGGGCAGGTCACCGACGAAGTGCGTGGTGGACGCATTGCTCGATCCAATAAGAGGGACAGCATCAGGATGAGGCCCTGCGCTGGCATCGCGCTCCTTGTCTGTGAGGGGGCTGAAGCGGAACATGTTCGCATCTGTCTTTGAGAACTCGACGACCTTCTTGTGCACTGCGACGGCCTCGTCGGTGGGAGTCCGTTCGCCAACTCTGTTCTTGAGGCGATCTGATGCCAGTCTCACCTTAGTGCGTGGAGCCCGTTCGCACATATTCTTCAACGTACTGTTCCAGCCCTCGATCTCCTGCGTCTCGCCATTGAATAACGCGCGCCAGCCTGAAAGAAATATCCATACCATCCTCGTGCACTTACCGGTGCCCTGCATGATGACGAAATCTTCATAGAACATGGCACGTAACTTGAAGCTGAAGGAGTTGTACACGCCATCCTGCCACTCTAAGTTCTCCTTGGACGCAGTCATCAACCGATGGGCTAAGGCTTTGCGAGGAGCCGAGGCCTCCTCAGGGTCCGCCTCCAAGACGTTGAGAAAGTCGAGTGGGAACCTCTGCGTGGGGTCGTACATCCGTCGCTCCCAATCAAGAGCGCCACGCACCACCAAGGTCACGATCAAGCACAATGCCTTCGAGGAGGTCCGAACGCCAAACGAAATCAGACCACCGAAAACGAACCGAAAACTCAAAACCAACTGGTGTATTTTCATTGTTGTGAAGTTTCTTTTGGCGTTGCGAACCTCCTCGACATGTTCTGGTACATCGTCAGCTCGAATCAGACTCCAGGTGCCGACCCAGTGCGTCAGCATGGCGTCGTCGTCCAGGAGGGCGTTGAACTCGTCTAAGATAACCTTGGCCTTGCCCGACACGAACTTAGAAACGAAGGTTGGACCCGTGTAGGCGGTCCCTTGCTTTGATGCTTCCGATCGGTGTTCTCGCTCAATCTTGCTCTCCTGCTGCGCCCAACGCTGGAAATGAGCAAGGGGCCCCTTCGCGACGAGGTCGATCTCAGCTGTCCCCAAAAACAACTTGTCATTCAACAAGGCAACCGTGGTCTGGCGGTAGTTTCGGCGTTTCTCGTACCACTCAGCGTCCTCACCGTCCAGCTTTTTTGTCTTCTTCTTTGTCTTGTCTGCGTCTGTGTCGTCGAACTTCGGCCACGTGCGTCTGACAGCGGGTCCAAGTACATGCCGACCAATCCTCAAGTACATCTCGATGTCGTCAACGGAGCCCCACCGCGTCGCGATAACCCGATGAATGGTGTTGCCAACAGATTCTTTGACAACCTTGGGTGGGAACTTGAGCTCGGCAGCTGCTTCTCTGACTTTCCGTGGGACGCCTGCGCCTCTCAGAGTGTTCGCGATAACCTTCAAACCAGAAAGAAACGAAGAAGATCCCCAGGGCGTATGCCATTCCCAATTGTTCGTGATATCAACCATGCTCTGCTGGATCAGCGCGTTCTGATGGAAGCGGCAAAAATAACTAGATATCATCACCCAACGGACGTTAGAAACAGCTGCGACTGCAGCTCGAACGAGGCCTACACAGTCAGGTCCGCTATCTAAGCAAAAATGATAACTCCGAAAGCTAGGTCCATCTCGGCATGCGGCCTCCATCCACGTCGGAAGCCCCGCATTGCGAAACTGTCGCGTCACCAAGTCTGTGGTTTCTTTTGCACCGCCCGTCCGAACTGTCTGCAAGTCCAGCACTTCCCGAAAGAATGTCAGCTTGAGGTCGTCACTGTCGAAGTTGGTGTCGCTGCTGATGTCGCTCAGCGCCTCTGGGCATGTTGCAATGTAACTGGCTTCACCTGTCCACACTTTTGCCTTGTCGACTGCCTCTTGGTTCGTGGCGTCGCCCCTGAACATGAAGAATTCGAAGCTGAACAACTTGCTCCCAATCAACGCCACCATATCCCCACTGTCCAGAGAAGCCGCCCTCGCGTAGTTGATGCATATCTCATTCGATGTCGCGTGCAAGTGATTGACCGAGTCATAGAATGATTTGACGACCACGGTCCTGGCAATGGACAGGTTATGCTCGAAGCGGATGACCATGTTCTTGGCGCCGTCTGTGAAGGACCCCTGCCACTCCTCGCCAGCACACATGGCCACGACAGATCGTGCGCTGCTGCAGCCGTGAGACCTCTTGTACGCCAAATGGTAGCCGCCCCATATGCTGACGCAGCGCTTGCCTGGTCTGAAGTTCGTTTTCTGCACAAGTGAACGGTGGGTGTCGCGTAGGATCCGAGATTTTTTTGTGTGTAGCCCCAAGCGCTGCTCCGTCGTCGCCAGCCGTCGTTTCACCTGCTTGAGTTCGGACTGCAAGAGTGTTAGTTCGTTGTCTCGCTCCACCATCTGCACTGCTAAATCGTACTTGGGCATCTCGTAGTAGACAGAGACGCTCGGGCGCTGGACCACGTCGAAGCTGCCTTGGATCTCAGCTGCGAGCGCCAGCGCATCCTTGACCTCGTTACCGTCGGGCGCCTGGATAACTGGGACGTCAATCGATTCTGCCAGCTTCTCAAAAACTTCTACAAGCGTGGCCTCTGACACAACAGCGGCGCCCAGGAACGAGTTGACCAACAAGTGAAAGCATTCGAACCTGATGCCGTGATTATCCGCACGCATGCCGAGGCTGGATATAGTGTCCTTTATCGTTTTGGGCTTCACGTCCAGACGCAAGGCACCCAACATATCTCTGATGGCTCGAGCGCTGAGAGTGCCTGTCGAAACTATCGTTCTGGTGACATGCTTCCTGGTACTCAGGTGCTGAAAAATCTGAGTGGCGATCGAACTCTCAGTCCGAAGCATTGTCGTGCCGAAGCAAACTTTGAGCCCAAATGGCTACGCGGACGACCCTTGGACCCTGGGACCCTTGCTGTTAAGCATTCCCTTATCGTCCCATCTTGGCGTTTTGGAAGCGTTGGGTAAGGATACCTTCGGGAATCCAGGGTCTCGCGACCGATCTGCAGCCTGAAAAAAAACTCATCCCCCTCCGCTCCCGTCTTCTCCTCCACCTCCCCACACTGTACCCCGAGACGCTATGGCCAGAGGCCCCAAAACTCAGGAACGGCGCTCTCGCCCGAGGCACCCTCACAATTCTTTCAAGCTGGCGACGTGCCCGTGCGCGCGTTAGCTCGCATGACGGCCACGGCGGCACGGTGCGCATTGGCTCTTGGGCCTTGGGGAGGGGACGCACGAGAACACGAGAACGATAAAGGAAAAGAGGGCGCCTTCAAGGCTTCCTCTTTTCCTTTATCGTTCTCGTACGTCGTCGTCATCATCGCCGTTCTCATCGTCGCCGTCGTCGCCGTCGTCATCGACGCCGCCGCCCCAGCCAGACAGGCGCCCCGCCTCGGGAGGGGGCCCGTGGCGGACGCGCGCGGCCGGCGCAAAGCGCTGCGGCCCGCGAAGGAGGAGGAGGAGGAGGAGGAGGAGGATGTCAATGCGCAGCACACTTGCACATCCTGCAACATTCCTCACACTGCTCTGCCGCCTACCCTACATCATCTGTCACTCTCCTTCGTCCCCCTCCTATTCCTCCTCCTCCCTCCTCCTCCCTCCTACTCCTCCTCCCTCCTCCTCCCTCCTCCTTCTCCTCCTCTTCCTCCCTCCTCCTCGTTCTTTTCCTCGTCCTCCACCTCCTCCACCGCCTCATCCTCCTCCACCGCCTCCTCCACCACCTCTAACTGGCCGAAACATATGAGAACACATATAAAAAGGAACCTATTAATACGAAAGACGACGACCAGACTTTTTTTTTGAAGCTGGAACCTACGAAACCTCTCGATGAAGACACCCCAGGTCCAGGAGGCGATGTTGGGTGCTCCTGAGGGGGGGGGGGGGGGGGGGGGGGTGGGGGGGGCGTAATTGAGGAACCTCCTTCGTTGACCGATCTCCTCCAAGGTGGCCCCAAGAAGCGCCCAGGAGGCCCCAAGATGGCCCCAAGAGGCCCCCAAGAGGCTCTCAGGAGGCCCCCAAGAAGACCCTAAGCGGCCCCAAGAGGCCCCCCCCCCCGAAGCACCCAAGACCCCGAAGAGCCCCCCAGGATCGCCAAGAGACCCCCAAGACGTCCCAAGAGGCCACCAAGAATCGCCCAAGAGATCCCCCAAGAGGCTCCGAGAGGCATCCAAGAGACCTCTGGCCCTTGTGCTTGCCCTCCTCCTTCTCCTCTTACTCCTTCCTGCTCATACTCCTTCTGTTCCTCCTCCTCCTCCTCCTCCTCCTCCTCCGCCTCCTCCTCATCCTCTTCATCCTCCTTCTTCCCACTCCCTCATCCATCCATCCATCCACCCATCCATCCATCCACCTCCTCCTTCTCCTCCTCACTCCTTTGCACGGTTCGGCCGTCCTCCTCTTTGCTGCCGCACTTCCCTGATCACCTCAACTCGCCTGGACATCGTTTCTGGATGGGCTGGTGGGGATACTTTTTGTCGCAGCCGTAACCGAAAGCGCAGGCGGCGTCAAACGGGACGGGCGGGCCACGCGCCAGCCTAATTGCCTAACGCGCCGGCAAGCCGGAGGCCTAAGCGGCACCTACGCGGACCGGAAGCGAGAGGTGCGGGCTGCAGCTGCCAGGACACAGGCCCATGAGCGAGCACATGCATAATTAGCCAACCAAGGTTGGGGCGCAGCCAAAATTGTGCGGGAGCGAAACCAGGATGAAGCCAGGAGCACCATCACGAAGGACCGCAGACACCAGTTAGGCCAGGGAGAACTCACTGACCAGGAAGCTAGTGCATGGAAGTGGCGCCACCAAAGTCGCAGACAACGCTGACAAGTGGCCGCTGAGGGCACTGGTGGGGATACTTTTTGGTCGCGGCCGCAAGCGAGAGCGCAGGCGGCGAGCAGGGTGTCCGGGCCAACGGGCAAGCCTAATTGGCTGCAAGACTGCTGGGGATACTTTTTTCGGTCGCGTCCACGAGCGAAGAGCGCAGGCGGAAGCTGTCCGGGGCACGGAAACAGGCCTAATTAGCTACTGGGCGCGAGGCAGGCCGGCCGGGCCCGCTCACACTTGTGGGGATACGCGAAGCGTCCAGAATTCAACAATCGTCCCCAGACCTTTTTAAATAAACTATTGTTGGATATCCCTCCTGTAGAGGGACACGCCCGACTTAAGTTTTGTGCCTGGCGGTCTTGGTCCCGTGCGCTCCCGAAGCTGCCGCATGCTGCATCGGCCACGCACTGCACGGCCCTGCACCACACAGTCTGCGCCGGAGGGGGGCGATCATCACCAGCCCGCAGTAGAAGAAACACAAAGCGCCATGAACATAAACTTTTGGCGCCCCGTGCGGATTTCTTGGATCTGCGCTGGACCCCCCCTCCCTGCCGCGCGGAGCGCGCCAGGGGCGGCGCCGGTGGCGCCGCCGGGGGGGGGCCGGCGCGTATCGCAGAGACCCGCGCAAGAACGCCAAAAGCTGTTGTGTGTGTGTGTGGCGTTCTGTTCTTCTGCGCCGCAGGCAGGCTCTTCAGGGTCCAGCCGACAGCACGTCACGGCGGAGGAGGAGGAGGAGGAGGAGGAGGAGGAGGAGGAGGAGGAGGAGGAGGAGGAGGAGGGAGGAGGAGGAGGAGGAGGAGGAGGAGGAGGAGGAGGAGGACAAGACAAGACAAGACAATCACCATGAGCTCCAACCGATGTCTCTGGAGAGAGCTGAGTGCACTATGCAATCCAGCTATATCAAAATCACCACTGGGCAGAACAACGAATTGAATGCCAAGTGACTCTGGAGCGGCGAGCCTGATCAAGCCAGGAACGTGCCTAGAGGCTGGGCCTCGAGGCGACAGGACGGTACCCTACGGAGCCACGGTGGCTCCAGGGCACGTCCCCACGATCTCCGACGTGTGAGGGGACCGCGAGGGGCACTCCTGAATTTATCCCAGGGCAAGACCGAAGCCCGAGGAAGAGAAGCATGGGCTTGCAAACGCCGACGCAGTCGCTACACGACGGAGCCCACAGGGCCAGAACCCGCCTTGCAACAACCGAGATGGGCCCTTGCCAGCACAGTTGGCGACAAAAAGTTCAATGTGGAAAACGAATGCGGCTGCTTCACTACTCCCTCACTGCGCTCCGCTGGCTCAAGGAATAACTGCCCGAATTTCCGCCCTCAGTTTTAACCCCGATTTCCTTCTACATCTCTGCTCTGCTGATTATACCATTGCGTTGCCATCCCATACACCCGATCACTGTTCATCATCGTCTGGAACTGCTGAGTGCCAGGGAAGATATGACGAGAAGCCAAAAAATCTGTTACAAGTCGGAGCCTGGATGGGAGAGAGACGGGGCCTGGCCGAACAACGCCAGCAGGGCCAGCAGCTGGACGAGCGCGAAACACCGCCCGATCCGCACCAGCTGCAAGTAGCGGTAGCCACGAAGTATTACCAGCTTCACGAGTAATTTCAAAATCGCCATGTTTTCCATCATCAGGAGCTTTGCTAACTGTGCCGTCCCAGAAGACGATATCTCGCGGCCTGTCAGAAGGGGACCCACCATGACGCCGAGCAAGGGACTGCGTGCGTGGGTCTATGGCCTCGGTACTAGCGCTCAAGCCGTCTCCAGCTGCTCCACCATCTGCTGAAGCTCGCGCTCCATGAACGTTGGAGGGGCTCGTCCTTGTTTCAGCTGCCAGTCCTGCAACCCCTCGAAGGCCTCCATCATCATCTGGCGGAAGTGGGGGTCCCTGTACGCAAACGTTACCTTCTTCATGCCCCGCTGGAACACCTTCTCCACCTTGCAGCACAAGATCAGCTCGCACTTCTTCTTCACCGTCCAACTGCTGTACTCGTCGTACGCGCTCTTGAGCTTGACATGGAGCTCCTTGGTCAGGGACACCCCCTGCGTGGGAGTGTCGGGTTGCTGTTCCTTCAGCCACTCCAACGCTCCTCCGAAGGCCCAGATCAGTGGCGGGCCGTACTCGTGATCTTTCTTGCCTTTCACCAGCTCGCTGTACGTGGAGGTTTGCTCCCCCATGCGCAAGATGATGGGATGGTTCTCTGGGCCGAGGTACACGTCGAAGAGCGTGGCCATGACCTCGCGCTGCTGCTGGGAGTTGCGGAGGATCTGGCGCGTCATCATGCCGTACACCTGCTTCTGTCCCGACTTCCACGTCTTCACCTCCTTGAGCCCGTCGGCGCGCTTGCCGTCGTCCTCGCCCTGGCGCGACCGCACCACACGGACGTGCGCTGCTGGAGCGCCCCCGGCGCCCGCTGCCGTCAGCGTTGCCGGCATGGACTGCCCGCCTCGGATGGGCGGGACGAGGAACAACAAGCCGCGGAAGCGGCAAGGGTAAGTGCACGCGTCGAAGGTGTTCGTGCAGTTCACTCACTGAGCCAAAAACCGCTACGTCGCATAGTCCGCATCTAAGTTCAGAAGGTGTCCGAATCTCCCAAGACATGTGGGCCCTGCCAAGTTGACAACGTCCATTAGCGTAAGCCCGTTTGAGATGATGTTGGGTAGATTGCCGATCCCGAAAGACAGAGCAGCAGTTAGGGCACTGATTTAATATCACTCCAGAGTTTAGGATAGAACGGATACCATGATGCGCCGTTTGATGTGCTAGAAGCTGTTGATAAGTAGCAAAGCCAAGATCACAACTCTGATGGGTAGAATCTAAGAGCTTACATACATGTTCTTGACCAGACTGTGGGACCTGAAATTGAGTGTGACGAAATAGTCGGTCCCAATGCCTTCTATCCGTAAAGGGGAGGAGGAGGAGGAGGAGAAGGAGGAGGAGGAGGAGGAGGAGGAGGGAGGAGGAAGGAGAGGGAGGAGGAAGGAGAGGGAGGAGGAGGAGGAGGAGGAGGAGGAGGAGGAG